TTTTTTCTCACCAAAATTCAAAGCCTTTTTAAAGCCCTTTTTTTTCTCGTGTTGCCTTATCAGTGATCAACATTTTTCAGAATAGTTGTTCTGTCGGTTTTCAGCCGTACAATAAAAACGGACGCTTGATAACGTTTCGCTCACGAATGAAGCAGACTCTAAAAAGCGTTCAGATTGAAGCCTCGGCACATTCACGTGAAAAATTTCTCTCCGATCTTCGTAAAGCCCGTGAAACACAGGATATAGCTGAAGCAAATCGGTTCCTGGATAAGATGAGGCATCGGCTTGATAATCCGGACGTGTTGAGTGTCGACACACTTTACCAATTTATGCTTAGCTATCGGTAATTTTTTGCACATTTCCATTGTTATGTGTACATTCTATCCGTTCATGCTGCTTTTTTGAATCAGATTTAAGGGGTGTTTGCTTGAGCTTTTAAACACCCCGAAGTTTCTTAAATTCATATTCCTATTATTATAGTACCTTGAAATAAGATAGATGCCTGACCACTTCAAGGCAAGTGCCGAAAAGACCAGGCTTTTTTTGTATTTACGCAAGCACTAAAGCAAACTGTTGCCCGCAAACTAGGAAGTTGAAATTTTAAAAATTTATTGCCTGACTCTAAGCCTCGGTATCAGCGACTTACCTTCATTGAATTTGGAGCTATGGAGCGAGGTAAACAGGGACCAGCCCGTACTAAAAAAACAGCTTTTGGAGCGCGTGGCTGCTTATTGTGCGTTTGGTGTTGTGTAACAGCAGTACAAAACTCATATTGTCACGGAGTTGTCTCTCTATGTCCGCAGCAACTTGTCCGCAACTTTCAACGGAAGCTAGGAAACTGAAAATTTAGGGTAATGTTCCCCACCCACATAATGACCTCGCAAAATTGAATTCAGCCTCCCCGTACTCGCGGGTAACACCTACAAGCCCCACAAAAGTTTTGATGGGGACGATTATTGTCTCAGGAGCCACGGAAACTAAGAGGCTGAAGTTTTATGGGTATGTCCCCTGCCCATGTGCGAATCGGGAAATTTAAATTCAGCCTTCCCGTGCCTTCGGGTAACACGTGTGGTCTCGTGGAATTTTTGGTGGGTAGATTATTAATTCAGGAATCGCGGAATCTGGGGGAAGCTAAAATTTTAGGGTAATGACCCCTTGCTCACCTACTACCTCGCAAATTCAAATTCAGCGTTCCCATGTGTTCGGGTATCAGTTACCGCTTGTGAAACTTGGCGAATAAACTGTTATCTCGGAAAACACGGAATTTAAGAAGCTGAGA